CAAATAGTAGTGATGACTATTTGGATAGCTTTTTATCAGTAGGATGACCATATAATTTGTCGTTTAAGCCAGGGGTCTTTTGAGCATGAAAGGGGATGCTGGAGACGTAAATTAGGACTTTCCTGGCAAATGGGAGCATGTGGTCACTGTTTATCAGTCTCTCCTTTCATTTTTCTGACAACCCTAGGAGATACCATTTCCTTCCTGTTACACATGGGGAACTAGGACCTGGAGAAGGTTGCTTCTGTCCACACAGCTAGAACTCTGATCCTTGATTCCAAGACGCCTTCTTGGCTGAGTTGGCTCAGCCTAGTGGAGTGTTGGGGTGGGAGGGTTGTGGAGGATCCTAGACTTCTGTGATGTTGGAATCTTTTGAAAACTACCATTACCTTTGTCCTGGGAAAAAGCAACATTAAAGCTATAAAACGCACATCTAGGAAAGGTAAAAACCAGATAAAAATGGAGGATACTGTGAGCAGAAAAGAAGTGGGTGCTGGGTGTATTTGTGCTTCCTTTGCTCAGTCCCTGGGATTTCCTCCTGGGCCTGCCGGTGTCTTGTCTGTCACATAGATGAACGATGGCCCTCTGGGCAGTGGCAGGGAGAGAACCGTTGATACCAGCTCTCTGTCAGAGCAGATGTTCTATTTGGGTCAGTCAATTGCCTTTCCTCTTGTTGTCTTGGGGGCCAATTTGGTGATTTTTTTCTCTGCTCCAGTGAAGATATGCATGTAACAGTTGGTTTTTGTGACATGTGGAGAGGGCTGCAGTTGCAGAGAATACTTGAGGGAGACCTGAGGTTGTTGGTGTGCTAAATATAGCAAGCAGTGACACTCTTGAGCCTGTGGTGTTGAAGCCCGAAAAGCCCCCGTGTGTGGAGGTTGGTGTATTTCTGGTTCAGATAGAAATAGACACCTACCAGAGGGTATGATGGCACCAGCGCTTGCTAGTGGCCTTGGGCCAAATTTAGTCTCTGTCCTTGCTGCCTGGCTCCCTCCTCTGCCTTTTCCTGCCTGCTCCTTGGGGAGCTCCATCTAGCACCACGAGGAATTGTGATGTTGCCTTCTGGCAGCTGAATGCTTCCACACAGGCTGTTCTTCAGGATTTGGGTGGAAGGAGCAGTTCCTTGGTGTCCCTGGGGAGAGAGGGTGGGCAGAGATCCAGGAATGCGCTTGCAGGGACTCTTGCCCTCCTCGAGCCTCCCTGTGGAGTGGTATTGTAGGAAAATTCCAGCTTGTCTTTGACCTATAATATGGATGGGCTTGGGGACCCGTTCCCCTTGAGCTGCCCCTTCCTCACTCTGGTGTCACTGTGTGTTCACAGGGAGAGATGGAGACTCTGAAAGACAAGACCCTGCAGGAGCTGGAGGAGATGCAGAATGACCCGGAGGCAATTGACCGGCTGGCGCTGGAGTCCCCTGAGGTAGAGGGAGGCCATCGCAGGGCCCAAGAAAGGCTAGCACTTGGGACTTTTTAAGAGGCCCTATTTAAAGATGCTGGCTTATTGGGAGTTTTAGCCAAATTCATCTCCTTTTTCTGTGGACTTCACCCTGGTTTGGACCCAGCCAGAGGAGCCCTGAGGTTTCAGGCCAGTTCCTGGGTCCTAGGGAATGCTAGAGAGTCCAGGGCTCCCACGTGGACTTGGACTCCTGGTAACTCCCGGGACTCAGATGCCCCAGGAGTCTCCACACTGTTCCAGGCTGAATCGAGGCAGTGCCTCAAAGCACTGGTATGGTTTTGTCCCCACCTTTCCCCAAGGCCTTGTGTGACCCTGAATCTCAGGTGATTCTAAGACTTCTAGGAGCCATTCTTGGGTGGGGATATAACTCATCTCCTATTTGATCCTGTTTCCCGTCATAAATGGCACCTAATCCTCTCAGTTCCTAATCACAGAGTCCTCATGGGAATAACCACAACCCTCAATCTGTACAGAGCTTTATGCTTAAAGGACTTCCCCTGCCTTCCCCATCTCCTGTGACCCTGTGACTCCCCTGCAAGATGGGAGAGGTCAGGCGATGGGATGTGGCCACCACATAGCGGGGAATATCCATGGGCACCCCTGAGTGGCTGCAGCCTGCCTGCCCTCCTGCTCCTAACGTGGGGGAGAGACACGAACACAAATAATGCTGAGCTCATTTGATTAGCATTTGGAGTATATTTTTGCTTTCACTGAGGAACGGGCATGGTGTGTCTCTTCCGTGAACTCACAGTAGGTTAGAAAAAAGGAGAAAAATGCAGCTCCCCATGCACCTTCTTCCTGCTTGCCCCTCCCCAGGGCACTTTTCTTGCTGTAGGATGCACAGCACCGATGTGTCCCCTGCCCCTGTCCTCACTTGTGCCCTTGTCGCTCACCACCCATCCTTTACCGAAGTGGGGCATCTTTGCTAGGGTTGGGGGTGAGGGAGTATTGGGATGAAAAGGCCTCCTGGTGGATGAAGTGTGAGGAGGGGTACGAGGACTCCATGTGGCATGTCTGCCCGCCCCAAGGCCTTGTCACTGTCCTCAGCTGAGCAAGGACGTGAAGCAGAGTTTGTCCTGGGTAAGTGCCAAGGCCGACTCAATGGGTAATTAGGCTGTGAGTGCTACCAAGGCCTGGCTCTTCCCTGGCCCGGGTGCCGGGCATAGCGCAGTCCTCATTCCTTCATCTTCCATGCAGTTGTCATGTGTCAGCAACGAGTGTTTCTTGAATCTGCTGTGAGCAGTGTTATGGGAATTCCAAGGCCTGCTTCTGAGGTGCACAGAGCTTCACAGAAACAGGCCTTTCCATAGCTATAATTAGTCGACTTCCAAGCTGAGCAGGCTGATAGCATCTATGAGCAAGCATAGAGTCATGGGAATGGGAATTCCAAGGCCTGCTTCTGAGGTGCACAGAGCTTCACAGAAACAGGCCTTTCCATAGCCATAATTAGTCGACTTCCAAGCTGAGCAGGCTGATAGCATCTATGAGCAAGCATAGAGTCATGGGAATGTAAGCAGAAGTGACCTCTTGGGCAGAAGGCAACTTGAATTTGTGGTGTGCAGCTGTGCCTGGCCAATTGATTTGAATTCTCTGAGGGGACAATGATCATGTGGGTCAGGTGGAAATGAAGTAGGGCAAGCTACTTAGACTGTCAAAAAACCTGGGACTCGCTTCTCCAGCATGGGCTGTAAAGCAATAATGGAGTCATTGTAGAATTGTGGGAAGAGGTAGAGGCTCATTCAGTGTCAGTGGACACTTCTTGGAGGAGAGTTAGTAGGGGACACTTCTCTCTGTAGAAGACTGTGGACGGTGGGGAAGAGGCAGGGTGGGGTGCCCTTTGGGTTGGGTTTTAGGCTGCTTTACTGACCTCTTATCCATGACTGGTGGAGGGCTTCATAGTGAACCCCTAGTGGAGAAAGGCTCGAGGAGGCTGTCAGGAGAGGGGACAGAAATGGGTAGGACAAGATCTGGGGGAAATACAGTGTAGACTTACTGGTTAAGACCCAGGGAAAAGGCGGTGGATGTATATGAGGACCAGAGGATCTGTGGGGCCGGCCCTACAAGGGGTGCTGAGCAGGAGGGCCTGAGGCCTCCCGTTCTTGTCAGCCACGTAAGCAAAGAAAAGCCTCCGTGGCTAATAGGAATTAGAGCGAAACTCCCCAGTGGCTATGTCGCTAAGTCTGTGTGCTTGTCTGGTGGTTAAGAGGGTGTTTGTGGGGCAAGCCTGACAGCCTGGAAATAGGACCAAGCTGTGCCCTGAATCCTGTGCAGAGTCCTGTCTTCTGGTGCCACATGGTGCTGTCAGTGTATTTCCACTGTCTCAGGGTGGTAGGTCTGGCTCTCCAGCCATCCTCTCAGTAAAGAGGACTCCTTGACACATGGGTAGGGCTTCAGGTCACAGGACAGCTGGGAGGGCTTGCATGGCTTCTGGCTCGCTGGCTGGCAGCAAGAGAGGGCCTAGTGAGGGACAGAGTGCTTGGTGTGGGGAAGGGTTTTCAGCGGGGCACAGCCAGGGGCACGTCTGTGGTAGCCCTCCATTAACTCATCCACAGCTTCTCTGCAGGACATATGTGGCCTAGGAGGCAGGGACAGGTCTCTCCCGGTCTGGTCCAGGGTCCTGGCTCTCCCACCCCACAGAAAACTTTTTTTGGGGTCTCATTGCCTTCCAGCCTGTGGGTGTGGCCTGGGGCACCTTAGTGAACTTTAGTAGGTCTCTGGACTCTGAAGCTTGGGGATAAGTGGTTGGGGCTTTTGGTCCCTTCCCTTCTAGAAAGCCTCTGACTTTCCCATGTAATTGGCCTCCCTCCTCCCTGGAGCTCTGCACACCCCATTCTGGCCCCCACACTCGTTCATCATGTGGCCTTGGGCAAGCTGTTAACCTCCAGTGCCAATTCCCCATGTGTCCACCTCACAGCTGTTGGACTAAGGATTCAGTGAGGTGCCTGGGTCAGTGCTTTGCTCAGGATTTGAACCCAGGTTCATCTGACTGTAGTTGAGAACTATTGCCCTGCTTTCCCCGAGGTGAGCAACGAGTTCCGGAAGCCCCTGGCCCAGCCTACCGGGAGGTAAATCTGAACCCAGGTTCATCTGACTGTAGTTGAGAACTATTGCCCTGCTTTCCCCGAGGTGAGCAATGAGTTCCGGAAGCCCCTGGCCCAGCCTACCGGCAGGTAAATTGTGGTGGTTCTTAGGGTTGGTTTTCCTGCTCTTTTAGGTCCAGGACCTGCAGCTAGAGCGGGAGATGGCACTGGCTACAAACCGGAGTCTGGCTGAGCAGAACCTGGAGTTCCAGAGTCCTCTGGAGATCAGCCGTTCAAACCTTTCGGACAAATACCAGGAGCTCCGGAAGCTTGTGGAGCGGTGCCAGGAGCAGAAGGCAAAGCTGGGTATGGTGGCTGGCCCTGGGAGTGTGCTCTGGGCAGCTTCCGTGTTAACTCAGGGTCCCTGTTGAAGGTCAGGCTGGGGAGAGCATCTGGAATAGTGCAGAAGAATAGATTCCCCCTGCCTTTCCCAGGACAGGAAAGGGCCAGCAGCTCCTGAGGCTGGCTGTGTTCTGAGCCCCGTGCTAAGTGCTTTACATATGTTTTTTTCCATATAAGGGCAGGTACTGTTGTTCTCATTTATAGAATGAGAAAATGAGACTCAGAGAGATTCAGGAGCTTAGCTAAGGCTGCCCAGCTAATAATAGGTGGAGCTGGGATTGGAATCCAGAGCCTGCATCCTTTGCTGCTGCTGTCAGCTGAGCCAGCTCGACTGCCATGCTTACATAGCAGGTCCTGACCTCTGTGTCCAGGACTGGCCATCTGTGAAGGTAGGAGGGGCTGTCCTGGCCTTGACGGTGAGGGAGCTTGACACACTGACAGGATATGTAACTCCCCTGTGAGGCAGAATGGGGTGGGGATCGGGTCAGTTGGGCCCTGCAGCCTGAGTCCTTTCCCTTCCCAGGCTGGCGATATGTTTTTTTCCATATAAGGGCAGGTACTGTTGTTCTCATTTATAGAATGAGAAAATGAGACTCAGAGAGATTCAGGAGCTTAGCTAAGGCTGCCCAGCTAATAATAGGTGGAGCTGGGATTGGAATCCAGAGCCTGCATCCTTTGCTGCTGCTGTCAGCTGAGCCAGCTCGACTGCCATGCTTACATAGCAGGTCCTGACCTCTGTGTCCAGGACTGGCCATCTGTGAAGGTAGGAGGGGCTGTCCTGGCCTTGACGGTGAGGGAGCTTGACACACTGACAGGATATGTAACTCCCCTGTGAGGCAGAACGGGGTGGGGATCGGGTCGGTTGGGCCCTGCAGCCTGAGTCCTTTCCCTTCCCAGGCTGGCATAGGGGAGACTGCTTGGCCAAGGGCTGGGCTGGGCTGGGTTGGGTCAGGCTCTTCTTTGCTCAGAAAGGTGATCTGAAGAAACTGGACCCACAGGGCCTAACAGGCCCACCTGAAGGGGGACTCTGCAGTAGACCCCAGGGTAGAGGCCGGGCTTTGATGCACACGGAGGGCGTGCTGAGTGCCTTTCCTGAAATCTCCAACACTGAATCAGGAAGCACTTTTGAAATGTCAACCCTTCTGCCCTTCTTTCCAGAGAAATTTTCCAGGGGGCCAGACCCCCAATCCTGGTTATCCTCAACAGTCCCCCTACCTCCCAGCAGGAAGAAGACCTCCCTACCCAATGCAGCCCCAGCTCCCAAGCTTCCCAGCACAGCCCCAGCCCTCAGTTCCCCCGCAGCCCCCATATCCCCCAGGACCCGCTCCTCCCTATGGCTTTCCACCGCCTCAGGGGCCTGTCTGGCCTGGGTATTAGACACAGACACGGTCCTGGCCCTCGGCCCCACCCTACCTCTGGGCCTCTGTGGTCACTGGACCTTATGTCTTCCAGGCCATGGCGGAGAAGTTCCTGGAGGGCGAGGTGCCCTTGGAAACGTTTCTGGAGAACTTTTCCTCCATGAGGATGCTGTCCCACCTGCGCCGGGTGCGCGTGGAGAAGCTCCAAGATTTGGTGAGGAAGCCCAGAGCTTCCCAGGAGCTGGCCGGCAGTGCCCCTCCATCCCGCCCACCACCCCCGCCTCGCCCAGCCTCCCAGGCGACACCCCCTGTGACCGAAGAGCCACCACTGCCATCAGTCACACCTCCCTACCCTTTGCCCTACAGCCCATCTCCTGGCCTGCCTGTGGGTCCCACCGCCCAAGGAGCTCTGCCACCGGCCCCTTTCCCTGTGGTGTCCCAGCCCTCCGTCTCCTATGGTGGGCCTTTGGGTCCTGCTTACCCCTCAGCCCAGCCAGGACCAAGGGCTGCTGCGGGCTTCTCCTGGTCCCCACAGCGGAGCATGCCTCCCCGGCCGGGCTATCCCATGGCCCAAACTGGTGCCTCTGGCCCCGGGTACCCCTTGGCAGGGGGCCAGACCCCCAATCCTGGTTATCCTCAACAGTCCCCCTACCTCCCAGCAGGAAGAAGACCTCCCTACCCAATGCAGCCCCAGCTCCCAAGCTTCCCAGCACAGCCCCAGCCCTCAGTTCCCCCGCAGCCCCCATATCCCCCAGGACCCGCTCCTCCCTATGGCTTTCCACCGCCTCAGGGGCCTGTCTGGCCTGGGTATTAGACACAGACACGGTCCTGGCCCTCGGCCCCACCCTACCTCTGGGCCTCTGTGGTCACTGGACCTTATGTCTTCCAGGCCATGGCGGAGAAGTTCCTGGAGGGCGAGGTGCCCTTGGAAACGTTTCTGGAGAACTTTTCCTCCATGAGGATGCTGTCCCACCTGCGCCGGGTGCGCGTGGAGAAGCTCCAAGATTTGGTGAGGAAGCCCAGAGCTTCCCAGGAGCTGGCCGGCAGTGCCCCTCCATCCCGCCCACCACCCCCGCCTCGCCCAGCCTCCCAGGCGACACCCCCTGTGACCGAAGAGCCACCACTGCCATCAGTCACACCTCCCTACCCTTTGCCCTACAGCCCATCTCCTGGCCTGCCTGTGGGTCCCACCGCCCAAGGAGCTCTGCCACCGGCCCCTTTCCCTGTGGTGTCCCAGCCCTCCGTCTCCTATGGTGGGCCTTTGGGTCCTGCTTACCCCTCAGCCCAGCCAGGACCAAGGGCTGCTGCGGGCTTCTCCTGGTCCCCACAGCGGAGCATGCCTCCCCGGCCGGGCTATCCCATGGCCCAAACTGGTGCCTCTGGCCCCGGGTACCCCTTGGCAGGGGGCCAGACCCCCAATCCTGGTTATCCTCAACAGTCCCCCTACCTCCCAGCAGGAAGAAGACCTCCCTACCCAATGCAGCCCCAGCTCCCAAGCTTCCCAGCACAGCCCCAGCCCTCAGTTCCCCCGCAGCCCCCATATCCCCCAGGACCCGCTCCTCCCTATGGCTTTCCACCGCCTCAGGGGCCTGTCTGGCCTGGGTATTAGACACAGACACGGTCCTGGCCCTCGGCCCCACCCTACCTCCACCCATACCACGACCTTTGGCCCACCCATCGCTGAGATTCGAGGTTAAATTGGAAGTGGAGTTGGTGCTTCCTGTGGACTTGCGTGGGTGCATGGCGGCTTTAGGGTGACCTGGCTGGGAGTGTGCAAGCCCCCGAAAGGCACTGGGCAGTGTGACCAGGTTGGCCATGGCAGACGGTCACAGCACTTGTTGGCTTTCTGGCTGGAGTTCCTCCTGGGAGCTCCTCCTTTCAGTGAGTGGCTTTAGCTTTTCTGGTGCTAGCCAGTCTGGGAGTCTAGTACCTCTCCTGGGTGCCTGTGAGCATGAGCGCATGCACGGGTATGCAGGCAGTATGCTTGTGCCTGCACTCAAGGACAATAGAACCTGGTACAGAGTTATCTCGGTGAGGAGGTGGCCCCTGGTCTCAGGACCCTGCTCACCCCCTCCTGCTCCCCTGGGATTTGGCATGTTCGATGTGGAGCCTCGTGCCAAGGGATGCAGCTCTTTNTCAGCATTGCAGCCAGGGACCTTGTTGGACCTTCTGCAGATCGAAGGCCTGAAGGTTGAAGAAGAGTCTGAGGTGAGATGGCGTGTGACACTCCCTCTTTCTTGGATAGGGTGTTCCTGGAGCAGAAGCCCTTGTAATGATAGCAAATATCTGCAGAGCATGACTCCAGAGTGCTTTGGTGGATGGCAAAGATGGATGACATCATTAGTCCCAGTGGAGGGAGGCCCTTTTGGATTCAAATAACGGGCACCCAGTCCACTAACTGTAGCAGGAGTGGGTGGCTGATGGCAACACCTGGGGCAGCTCACAGGCCCGGATGGAGGGCGGTGCAGCTGGAGCCACAAGGAACTGGAGTCAGCCCCCCCCGCCCCCCCTTCTCCTGCTTCCTGCTTCCCTCTGGGCATCTCTCCAGTTCCTGTGGGCAGACTGGCTCTCTGCTTCTGTGTGCTCTGGGGAGAAGCTTCCAGGTCCTCCCAGTCCTTGGGCTGGTATGCATTAGTCCCCGAGTAGCAAGCATTCATCCAGTTGTTCCACACATATGCATAGTGGCCATGATGGGCCTGGTGAGATGCCAGGGCAGGGGGACAGTGGTGACCATTACAGACATAGTCCCTGCCCTCAAGAAGCTGACAATCTAGTGAGGGAGACAGAGAACAAACAAATGCACATGTAATGTCAGCAATGAGAAGGGCCTTGAAAAATTCCCGGATGGGGGCCAGGTGGGAGGGCTGCAGTGGAACTCCGAAGGGGGAAAGCGGGAGGGTCTTGATCCTGGTGGGCCTCTGTGGTCACTGGACCTTATGTCTTCCAGGCCATGGCGGAGAAGTTCCTGGAGGGCGAGGTGCCCTTGGAAACGTTTCTGGAGAACTTTTCCTCCATGAGGATGCTGTCCCACCTGCGCCGGGTGCGCGTGGAGAAGCTCCAAGATTTGGTGAGGAAGCCCAGAGCTTCCCAGGAGCTGGCCGGCAGTGCCCCTCCATCCCGCCCACCACCCCCGCCTCGCCCAGCCTCCCAGGCGACACCCCCTGTGACCGA